ATCATCGGACATTTACAGTTTTTCCATCATCATGTGGGAATTTACCTCCTCTCGACCTCCTTTTTATGACAAGAAGTTCGATTATAATTTGGCTCATATGATTTGTGGCGGATTAAGACCACCTATAATTAAAGGGACACCGGAATGTTATGCTCAATTGATGAAGCAGTGTTGGGATTCTGACCCAGCTAAGCGTCCTACCTCTCAATTGTTGACTGAAGTTTTAGAAAAATGGTCCATAATTCTCTCAAAGGAAACATCAAATGATGACGATGACGATGACGACGAAGTTAATATAAGGAACCAATTTAAATTAGCGGAGTTGGAAAGACAAAAAAATCCATTTCCTGTCGTGCCGTTTTCGGAATCAAATTCACGTCCTTTGACTAGTCGTCTTCTCCCAACGATCACTCTTCACACAAGTGCAGGAGGATACCAAACTATACAATATGACCTCGAAATTTCGGATGACTTATAACATATACAATCATATTAGATTAAAATATCTTTATTATAACCATAATTTATTATTTATTATTACTAAAATTTATTTTTTAAGTTTCATCAACAGAGATAATTTACCAAATAATAATTATGTTTCCCAATCAATGAATATCTCTTTTTTTCCTTTTAAAAATAGTAGTAATAATAAAAATTTATAATTTATAATGAATGGGATTACATAATATGTAAACATTACCTAATATGTCAAATATTTATTTTATTACACATTACATAAACATAATGGTCGATTTGTGTGTAGACAATGTCGATCAATTTAGTTTATTTCCGATAAAGGTTAATTTAATGTTTTTAACAGTATATTAAACTCATTATTTAAGATTAAATAATAATTATAAATTTTAATTCTCTTTTTTAATTAGAAATTCTGACGTATGAAAATACATGATGAAGATATAAAGATAGAACATAAATAATTAAAGTTGAATCAACTAATTCCCCCCCCCCCCCCCACGCTACGATTGGCTGGTATAATTGATTAAGCATACAAGGCGTGACGAATAAACCTAACCCACCGAAAAATAAAAATTGAAACATCACAAATGTCACACCGATACAACACTTAATCCCTAACCCTAACACTAACAAATCTCAATTATACCAGCCAATCGTAGCGTGGGGGTAATTAGTGATCCCATTAAGAAATTAATTAAATAAAAATAAAATTATTATATATAAGATTATTTTTTTTAAGTAAAATTTAACATTTATATTAATTTAAGATTAAAAGTTAAAAAATTTATTTTAATAAAGTATTTTCTATTAAATATTAAAATTAAAATTTTATATCGTAAAACATTTAAATTTATATATATTAAATTCTAAGTATTTAAATATTATATATTATAAAAAAAATTAAAGTTGTATATTTAGGAAATTAATTCCTTTCATTGTAATAATTATATGTTGTAAATCCAATTCAGATAATCTTAATTTTTTATTTGATATATATACTCACAAAAGAAGAATATTCTAGCTATTAAACATTTTGCATACTTTTTTAATTTTTTATTTATTTTTGTTAAGAAGAAAATTCTCTGTTATATAATAAGCATAAAGTATAATAACTTTCATTTATCTTTCAAAAATTCTAGCATTAATTGTTATTATTAAATGTAAGCATATTTTCAGTAGTATCATATATCTAATCTTTGATCATATTTTTTTATACTATTTGTATTACAAGTTTTTATAGTTTTTATTTAGATTTTTCTAAAATTTTATATTGTAATCTATATTTGCTAGTTTTTTAAACTTTTTTGATTTCTTTAATAAAGTTCTTTACATTTTTAAAAATATAAAGTTTATCAAAGAGAATAATTTTTCTATTTGATTTATATAATATCTTTGATATTTTGATAAATACTGAAAAAAGTAATAGCATTATTAACAAAAGTTATATTTTTTGGTTATTTAGGTCTTTAAACAATAGTTATGATATTTTTTTTTTTGCTAATTATCAGTTATCAATTATTATTTCTAGTAAACTCAATCAGTTTGTATATTGCAAATATTTTTGTTGAAAATTTTTATTAGTGTTATTTTTTTATAATATGGAATATACTGCAACAAAACCAAATAAAGTGAACATTTTATTACGTGATATGAATGAGAGGCTGATTGTGATGTAGCTGTAAAATTGACCAGTGTGACTAATAACATTTTGGAAAAAAATAATAGTGCTTGTTCATAGTTTATGAACTTGTTAATTTTAATGCTTATTTTATCATACCAGAATTTGATGAATATAAACCATAATATGATTAATATAGGATTACTTTTATATTATTAACGGAAGAAATTACAGCTTCAAATATTACATAAGATCTGTCATTTAATGATGATCTTCTTTTAGATGATCTTATTACGCTAAACAGTGATCACTAATAATTTCTGTTTCACCTGTTTCTTCTGTATTTTTTGTACAGCCTATTTATTTTGTTTCATCTGTAATTTTCTTAACATCTGTAATTTATTTTATTTCCTTTTATTATTTTTATAATTTATATTATTTTTATTACGTTAAGTATATTTTATTAGAGTATGTATCTATATTTAGTTAATTTATAACATAATAAGTAATTAGTCATAACAAATCTATTTTGTATAAATAGAATAGCTTTTTGCTTAAGTTGTAAATTAACTTATTTGTAAGTTACTTATAAGTTTCAGTATTATAAATAAAGGAATCAATCTAAATTCATACAAGTTTATTTTTTTTCTTCAATATTATCCTTCATCTAAGATTGTTGTGATACAATATACTAACTTACTATTGAGTTCATCATTATAAATTTAACTAACATATTTTAAATTCTAAGACGTGATAAATTATCAAGTTGATTTAAGTATAATGAATACCTGTAGAACTTAAAGAAAATCCTAAAGTCAAAAACTCTAATATGTAAAATTAGCTACAGTAGCCTTTTAACTTAGACGTTAGGATAAACAAAAATGAATCTGATGACAATATATAAAAATATTAATATAAAACTAATTTACATCAGATTTACAATAAAACCCAAGAATTATAATACCATCAGAAGTATTTTAAAATAAAACAAGGTGAGAAAATTGCTTCTTACATTTTCAAAATAAATGATACTCAAACACTAGAAGCTTATCTAAAAAAAGAAAAAATTATCTATGAAATTTACCATAAAGAAAGAAAAATAATAAATATTAGGAAAAGAAAGCAAAGTAAAGGTGCATTATTACCTAACAAAAAGCAGAAATTCTTAGAAGAAAATAATTTTATTATTATAATATTGATTTATTTTTTACTGACTATTACTACAAAGATAATTCTCCTTTATGTAAAATGTAATTAATGATCATTATATTGCATTGCTTATCAATAAAAACATTGTTTGAATTTTTGAACAAAAAATTCTATCACATTCAAGGATATGTTTTATGAGTCTTTGTTTTTCTCTTATTGATATTGAAATAAGGTAAATAATCTCACCTTGTATTGAATCATTATAAAAATATTACTAATTCACTTAATTTTCAAGTAAAAAAATTCAAATAACAAATCCTTCTAATAATCATTATTAAACAATTTTATTTTTTGATTTAAAAAAAAAACAAATAATCAATAAATATTTACACAATTTTTATCTATAATAACATTTTAAAAAAACTGCTTACATTCAATAACAAACTTTTTTGTAGATTGTTAATTAGACTTCTTCTTAGTTTCTTGATTTACCATAAAACCTACCAAAATCAACTTCATACTATAAATCAAAAATTGATCAAATAATTGATAAAATAGAACCAAGAAGGAAACAATTTAAAAATAAAACAAACTAATTTACTAATGATAAATAATATTCACAAAAAATAGAAAATCTATTGAAGGATTTTAAACTATTATTTAACAAAAATACTAGGTTGAATTCTGATTTTTCATTTAATGAAATAGTTATTGAAATTCGCCAATTACTAGAATATGAAAAAAGAGTTATTGCTTTCACAATAAAACTTCTATTAATGAAAACCAATCCTAGAAATAAAATGATAAAAGTAATTCAGGAATAGGTTAACAAAAAAAAGAAGAAAAAGGTAGAGAGTGAAGATTATGAAGAAGATAATAAAGATACAAATATTAATAATAATATTATTAATAATAGTAATAATAGCAGTAGTAATAGTGAAAGTTGAATTTTTGTCAGAATGCTCAAAGAATAGGTAATACTTATAAATGGCTTTAGGTCTGAGTATTTTCCTTCTATGTAAGTGCTCTGACAATTCTTTAACTTATATTTTTATAAATTGTTTATTTATGTATTTTTCTATTATTAGTTGAATTAAAATAAAAATAATTTTCTTTTATCGTTTAATTCATTTGTCCGTAAAAAAATTTTTTTTAATTTCAAAACATGTGTTCACTAATTTATCATTGGTCCAAAATATTTATAGAAACAATTAATTATAACAATTATGATTTGAATCAATAAAAAAATTCATATTTAAATTTTTTTTTTTACTTTTAAGAAAATAGTAACATACAAAGAAATTGAATAAGAATTAGAATGAATAAGAGGAAATTATAATAAGACAAAAGCAGAGTTGAAGTAGTGAAAAAAAAGGGAGAATAATAGAATGTGGTTAGAAGACTTAAGAAAAAAGATGAGAAGAAAAGAGCAGCTTAATGAAGATGACAAGAAGTAGCTGAAGAGACTAAAGGAGAAAGAGAGGTTATTAAAAGCGGAGAAGAAGAGGTGAGAAGATCAGGTGAAGTATTTATAAAAAAACTAACTGAATTTGAAAAAGAAAAAGATAACAAATAAATTACATAAAAAAAAATTTTTTTCGTTTATTCAATTTCTTTTATTTATTTATATATTTGTCTATAAAATATTTAAATTATTATTTATAACTTTAACTAACTTATGATTTTCAATTTCTTGTTGTATACTGAAAGGAAAACGAAAAGTTAAATTTGAAGAGTTTCAGATACAAATCATGCTAACTTTTATTTAAAATGTTTTGTTCTCTTTTTCTATATTTTTTATATTTTTACATATATTCAGGTTTCAAAAAAATGGAAAACAAATAATACAGTAATAGTAATAGAAAGAAAAGTGTAATACTTTACTGATTCTACTAAATGGAATCTATTACTTCTTTTATATTTCTAAAATATTGCCTTTTGCTTATTATAATTGTAATATTATTTGACAATAGTGCAAATTTTGAGGAATTGACTTATGAGACTGGTGACTTAAAATCAGATTTTTTCTGAAAAATTTTTATTAACCAGTTGCTGAATTCAAACAGGAGAACTGCTGGATTGTCTAATTCTTCACAAACTTGGGATGAATTTTTATGTCTTTTTAAAAAATGATCTGAACCTGTGGTTTTGTTCATTGATAAATTTGATACACTATATTCAATTAGTAAAAAAATTAAAAACAGCCTTTTAGGGTCATTATATTCTCTTAAATA